GCTAGCGCTCGTTCATCACATTCTTATTATGCCGGAACTTAATCCACCTGCAGGGTTTAGCATAACAATCCTTCATGAACTCACTCCGGGGACATCATCAAACTAACGTACATGGTGACCGTAAAAATACTAACAGCACATCCTACATATAATAATATTACCCAAAACAGTAGGAATATTAATCCAGCGAACTGAACCTCACCCATGTGAATCAAAGTAATATATATTATATATATCTGCCTGTTTAATATCTTACGGGTTAAGAGAACGCAGTAATTAACCGAGGCCTAGTTCATTTACGACGATCAGTATAAAATGAACTTCTCCTCTCTGGGATCCTGTTCAATACATAAATGTACTAGTGCAACTAATCAGTCAAGACAAACTGTACAGTTGACACTACAACCGTGCGGATGGGGTGTTCATGTCCATCTAGGTTGTGAACAACTATTCTTGTTCGCAAGTAACTGATAAAGTGATCTTCGGTTCACCCGACGACGACCCACCCTATCTAAGTGCAGAACAACAGAACGTAGAACTTGTTTAATCTAACATGATTCTCATTCATAAAGGGTAAATGTGTAATATCATGCAAAGCCAAGCTCTCAGTATATAACACTAACAGGCTAGGACATTGGGCAAGGCTTGGCTCGCACGAGAGCTTGGCACGAGCGGTCTTGCAGATTCTTGGGCGCGTGCGTGAGGGTTGCATGGTGCATGCTAGGGCTAATCCTAAGGACCTCAACACTTAGAAAAATATTCTAAGTATTGCTACTAAGGTTGGGTTAGGAGTTTGAGTTATGTATTCGAGCCACTTAGCCTATATTTATCCTACCTATCCAAAGAGCCTACGTTACAACCCTGAAATACCTTTTGATTCATTAGTTTCGATTTTGATTGGTTTAGAGTAGAAGTTAGATAATGGACAAGCATATGATTGAACTTGTTATCGATCAATTTGAGTGCACCTATCTTTATCTGTATAAGAAATTGAGTGAGGCACACATATACATTCCCATACTTGAGAGGACGTCATATTAAAGTTTAGCGATCAAGCATGTTGTCGGGTTAGGTTCGTATGTGCCGTTTGAATGCTCATTGTTGAAGTTGAATGTTGAGACTATCTTGTTACTGATTGTTTTCCATGCTCGGTTTGAGTTTTGTATCTTTTATTTTCTCTTCTTTTTGTTCAGGACGAACAAAGGCTTAAGTGTGGGGGAGTTGTTTGTCCCATTTTTTTTACATTTTTCGTGCTTGTTTTGCTTTTCTTTTTCCCCCATTTTAGGCCGTTTCTTTCGTTTTTAGTCCGTTTCGTGTGTTATCCTATGTTTTCCTTTATTTTTAGTTCTTAGGTGTTTTTCGTTTGTTTTTTCAATTTTCTTCGTGTTTTGTCGTTTTGGTGTGTAGGTCCGGAGCTTTGAGCAAATTTTCTAAACAGGAAAAATTAGTTTCAAGAGCATAGTTGAATAGAGGGGTTCATTGGCGACGCATAACAAAAAATAGAACTCAAATCCGAGTTCAGACGAGCCCAAAACGTAAAGTAGTGCAGTGCAGCATGAGTCGCGACTTGCGACATAAAAGTCGCGACTCATGAGATGGAAGTCTCGACTCGCGAGATTAAAGTCGCGACTCGCGAGAAAAACAGAGCCTGAAGGTGCAGTTCGTGAACTCGTGTCGCGACTCGCGACATGGAGTTACGACTGGTGATAGGAAAGTCGCGACTCGCGAGTTACGTCGCGACCAACCCCAGATTTTTAAGATAAGGACGACGCGCGACTCGCGACTAAGGAAATAGGGATATCGCAACTCACGACTTGACTACGCGAATTTTGAGTTGCGGGATTTTAACAGAAGATTTTGGACCTAGGGCATATTATTCCATTCCCAAAACTTGTTTTCTTCAATTTTTCTCTCAAAAAACTTAATATTGTTAGGATAATTTTCTCCGCTTTTCTTTTAATTTTCTCATGCTTGGATTGTTGGACACAAAGATTTTTGGATTGAAATCTTGCAACTCTTAATCCGATTGTAAGTTTTTCAATTCTATTTTATTACTGTTGATTGGTTTTATGTTCTTAATTCCGGTTAACATGAAATTGAATCTAAGCATGAGGTAATCCATTCATCAAGGGTTAGGGATTTTGATTCTTGTTTTAAATTATGAGGGATGTGTTTTGTTCAATCCATACGAGTTGTGTGAATTATAGGGTTAGTTGATTGATCACCATTCTAACCTAGTTAATCGACGTTTAGAACCGAGAGGGGAGACGTCGGTCAATTTAGGCTCGTATAGAGTAGACATGTTCGTAAGTATTGTCTATGTGTTGCTTGTTTGAATGAGTTTATTGTTTATGTTTGTGCTCTTGTTACGAAGAGTTATTGAGCATAGACCTCCAGACGTGTAGACTTGTTAAATCTCGTAACCGAACAAATAAGTGTTCAACATAGTTTAAGACTTGATGCGATTTCCCGACCCCTAGAACTTCTTTTTCTCTAGAAATTTCATTGTTATTTCTTTAAATTGCTTTTCTAGTTCTAGCTTGTTTTAGTTTATTCCCCAAATCAATCGTGATTAGAGTGTTCAGGACTTATTTTCTTTTCGTGTGTGATCAAGACCGAAGCTAAATTCCAAACTGTCTTTCTCGAGAGATCGACCCGGGGAACGAATCTTTTGATTCAGAACTCGGTAAAAAAATAAAATAATTTTCTACAACATATCAAGCTAGTCTGCAAATGAAAATTCTGAATGATTATGAAATTTCCTCAGGTCAAGTGGTTAATTTGCAAAAATCTTCTATGTTCTTCTCCAAAAATTCTGATGGTATTATGAAAGTTGTTGTGTGTTATATTCTTTATGTTATTGCTAGTGTCTCCTCAGCCAAATACTTAGGGTTTCCTCTATGAATTGAAAGATCCAAGAGGGAGACTTTTAGATTTGTGAGTGAGTGCGAAAAAAAGAATTGGCTCTTGGAAAAAATATTTTTAAGTGAGGCAGGAAGAGAGGTGCTTATAAAAAATGTCTTGAATTCTATTCATTTTTACGTGATGACTTGTTTTCAGATTCCTGTTGCTATGTGCCATGAGATTTGTAAGTCAGTGGCTTCCTTTTGGTAGGGTCAATCCGAAAAACGGGGTGAAAGAATCCATTTGTCATCTTGGACTTGGTTGGCTAAGCGTAAGGATGAAGGGGGCCTTGGGTTTTTAGAGATATGCGGCCTTTCAATGAAGCCCTAATTGTCAAACAACTTTGGAGAATACATACTCAGCATAATTTGTTGATGAGTAAGTTGATTAAGGGCAGGTATTTTTCTATGTCTAATTTGAGTTAGATAAACAATAGAGATGAGGACTCTTGGATGTGGAAAGGGTATCTAGGCGCTAGGGATGCTTTGTTCAGGGTTCTGAGTTATAAGGTTGGACATAGGTTATCAATCAATGTTTAGGATTCTCCTTGGATCCCAAATAAAACCTACTTCAAACCCACTTGCAATTCTTTTGAAGAGAAAGGAATGGTGGTGAGAGTTAGTGATCTGATTTTGGAAGGGAGATAGGGAGTTAATTGAGCAATATTTCAATCCTTTTGATGCTCAATGTATTTTCAAGATCCAGTTAAGCCACTTATAAAAAAAAGAGAGTCTAGTTTGGCATTTTGGCCCAAAAGGTATTTTTTCTGTTAAGTCGTCTTATGAGAATATTTTGGCTAATAAATCTGGCTAAAGGGAAAAAGCTTCTTCTAGTATGGTGAATGCAGTTGCAAGAAAAATATGGAGTAGAACTTGGAGACTACCTATTCATCAGCTAAAAAACTTTATGTGGAGGTCCATCCATGGTTTCTTGGGTACAAAGCAATAACTAGTTGCAAAAGGAATGAGCATAGACCTAATCTGTACTCTTTGTGGGGAGGGACAAGACGATCTTGAGCATTTGTTCTACCATTGCTCTCACACTAGTGTCTGTTGGAAACTGTTAGGTTTAGAATGGTCTGGTTTGTAAGATAGGGTGAAAACTCGGTCATGTTTGTGGGAAGAAGTTTGTAGCAGTAGTAGGTTTTTCAAACTTCAACACGTAATCACTTTGTCTATGTGCATGATTTGGAGGATATGAAAGGCTAGGAATAATAAAGTTTTCAACAAAGATCCTTTTAAGGAATTAGAAGTGGTGGCTGGTGCAAGAAAGGACTAGCTGGAAATGCTACAGATCAAGAGCTCCGAAAGAGAATTAGAAGTATCAAGGGAGAACACCACTGAGTACCAAGGGTAACAATTTTCCAAGGGAGTATGGCTGATATCCATACAAGTCAGTGCTCTATGTTCACTGGAGCGAAAAATTGAGGTTTATGGAAAAGCAGTGCAGGATGAAGTACTTATCCACTCATAGCAATAGCCTGGCTTCTGGGCAGATAACTAAAAAGAAGCTAACCTGCTAGCTGTGAGGAGTCCTTTAGAAGTAGCTGAGGCAAAGGGATGGGAAGAGATGTTGGAAAAAATTGAATGGAAATTGTAACATATACCTTTTGTAACCGTCCCTTGAATTTTGAACTTGTAACTTAGTTTTAATAACTTAGTTTTATGTTTCTTTATTAACTCCTACTTGATTAATGCCAAAATTAATTGTATAGTTTTCCTATAAAGAGGGGTTTTCTTTGAGGGAGTGAAGCCATACGGAAAAGAACAAAACAAAAGAATTCTTCTTAAAGTCCCTTTCCCTATTTTTCTGTTATAAGTGTTTTGGTCCAGGCATAATTTCCAGTTCGCCGAATTCGATTCGGTTTTTCCATTGTATCCTGGGAAATAGACGCTCATACGGGGCGAATCTATTTTAAGGACACTGTGTTCTCACAAGCGTTGGTATTATGTGCCTACAAGAGACTCATTCCACTATCAAGGACAAAGGAGCAGTGACAAAGATGAATTCACATATACATGTTGTGCCTTCTCTTTCTGTTGTGGTTACTGATATTGTGGAAATTGAGAATTGTTTTAAGTTTTGTGTGTTTTCGGATGGTTCTTCTTGTTATGTTTAGTGATCTTGTGGGTCGTTGATGGTGATTCATGTTATATTTCTCCCGCGCTTTTTTTCTAGCTTGTCGGTTAGTTTGGAAAGTGTTGTAATCAGTTGATCTACTAGTTGTACATTGTTTTGAGATTAATGTAAAGGTTCTCGTTTGAAAAAAAAAATGATTGCATAGGCTAATTTTATTTTATTTGTTAAATCCCTTGAAATCAATTGCAATTTCTCAGATCCCCTTTCCCGTCTCTTCCAATCTCGACCTTCTCGGCCAGAATCTCTTAGCGTGCGCCTTCCCCAATTGGGCGCTGAGTCTTCCCGACGGCGGCTGCCCCCAGGTGGCGCGGGTATCCCCAGAATTTTGCTTCGATGACTATCTTTGATCTGCTAGAGGAAGAGGGCCTCCTTGGCGGTTTATCGTCGTCCTTCTGGTGTCGTCCGGATGACTATCTCTGCTCTGCTGGAGGAAGAGGGCCTCCTTGGCAGTTTATCGCCGTCCTTCTGGTGCCGTCCGGAGATGCTGGGCTTTCGTCCTCCTGGTGCAGTGGCGGTGGACAGTGGAGTGTTCCGCGGAGCTTGCAGCTCTAGTCGTACGGTGGTGGCATCGATTGGAGTGGAGGACCGGAGTTATTCGGCCCTGAGCTCTCTTTTCCCTTGGTGTGCAGGTAAAGGGGCTCGTTGAAGATTTCTGATCTTTGCCTTGGTGTGTGCCTAGATTGGGGTGGCGGTGGCATGGGGTGTTTAGATTGTCGGGACCGCGGGGCTGAGGTTGACTGCTTGGGGTGCGGGATCGGGTATTCGGGTTGCTGTTCCAGTTAGGCGGTGATCATCCTCTCAGATCATGGCCTTGGTAAGCTATTGCCTCACCAACTAGCTAATCAGACGCAAGCCCTCCTCGACTCTTTTTCTTTGCATTTTGCTTTTCTTATCAGATTAGAGCCCCCGAGCTTTCTTGCAGGTGACGACGACGTCGAGTTGACGATAGAGAAAGACTCGGCATTCAGGCGATCTGCTCGGTGGTGTGGAATTGACTGGCCACCACATGTGGATACTTGCGGAATGGTCTTTCCTTTCTTTCGTTCTAGTCTTTGACTTCACTTGGCTTCGGTTCGTTTGTATCGTTGGCAAGGCTTTTGTGCGTGTCTACTCTAGAGCAGCAGATTCTCTAAGACATTTGATATGATACAGACGCTAGGGAGGATGCCATTTATAGATCTGCTAACTTGAGGTCACGAGAGACAAGACGCTTCCTGCTCGCCCTACTTACTTTCTTACTCCATAAAGGTAGTGAGTTACCTACTAGCTCCGTGAGGTCCCTTACCAGAATCCTTAGGCCGATTAGTGGTTCTCAGGACGTGGTCCGATCCGTAGGGACGGTCGACTGTGGGTGTTGCCGTTGGTAGTTCTTGGTGTTCTCCGGTTGTGGGAAGGGCTTGACTAGTTTTTTTTTGCTTGTTTTAGGTGTGCCTGTAGGATGTGTTGTTTGTGTTGTATTGTTGTTTTTGTGTTTTTATTTTCTTCTCTCATGTTGGGAATGTGTTTTTAATACATAGATTCTTTTTTCCATAGGTCGTATGGGCACATCTCATGAACAGTGATGCTGTAGTTCAGGTAGTTTAGTTTAACTTTAATTAAACACCATTTTTTTTAATTGCTGGGAAAGGGGAAAAAGTACCCGAATCCAATAGATTAAACACTGCAATTAAGCTTCGCCTAGGTCCAAAGTTGCTTTATTAAGTAATTTAACTGCCATTTTTCTTATTTTCTATTAGAGAATAAGATCCACATTGTCATTATATATCCTTTTAATCCGTGCGTAATGGATAAAATTTTAGAGAAATCAAAATAGTATGCAACGTGTGTGATTAAACAAAATTACTTCTAAGAAAATCTGAACTCGATACTTTTAGAAATGGAAACTTTTTAAAGTAGTTTATGTATTGGTCAACGTGTATTAAAAAGAGTTTAATTTTCAACTAATTAATAGTAGTTTCATAATTTTAAAATTAATCAAATTTCAATTGAAAAATAACACACAATTCGCACATGTTCCTTTAAATTTGCAGTCAAAATTTGAATTTTTGGAAAACGTTTTTCCCAAAATGCTGAATTTCGACCATAAATTGTCATGTTATGCACACGTGTGCCTATAGATTTTAGGTCGAGTTTTGGACTATCAAGAGTTTTCTTAAATCGATCATTTTTTATAACTATGGGATTACTTAATTGGATTTTAATGAACGACCCCTTAACATGATTATGATAATCAAACCTACCGGTTCAACGACCGTTCATCATATCTGTCTGATCCGCACAAGAAAACCACTACCTATGAATCAGTTTTTGACCATCATAACCGGTATAAAACCGACCCGTCTCTCCAATTTGATTCCTTTTATTATTTTTTATAAAAATTAGATTATAATAATTTAGTTTGTTTTTAATAATTCAGTTTATTTTTTATATAATTACATATTTAAATATTTTAAATGAGAAAATTGCAAATTTGGTCGTATTCGTTTCACGTTTTCCACCTTTGGTCCCAAGAATGCCATTTATAATCCTTTTAATTTTTTTCGTTGCAAAAATGGTTCCACGTCAGTCAAAACTGACAGGGCTCACGCGAAGACGTTAGATTGGATCAATTTTACTATTTTTTGGACCAATTTTGTAATTTTTTTTTTTTTAAAAAAAAAATGAGTTCTTCATGTTCATCTAGAAAATAAGTCAAATTATTTTGATATTTAATTCAAAAGTGAAAAACTGACTTTTTTTTGCTTTGATAGTTTGACTAACTTTAAGAATCATTTTTTGAATGAAATTTAAAATTAACAGGGCTCACGTGCAAGACAGTAGCAACTTTTGGGACCAATCATATGAGACAAATTTTGTAATTTCATATTTTTTTATCTTGAAAGTCGAATTAGTCTCTCTCATTCTCTCAAAGCCAAAAATACATAATAAAATTAATTTATTATGAATATAATGCGAGAGATAAATATTAAAAATAATTTTTCAAAAATAAATATCGAGTTAATATTAATTTAATTTTGTAAATTAAATATTACAAAACATGAACTTGATTTACTCATTTTTTGTGATAATTTGCACAATCGAAACATTTTTATATAAAAAAACAAAAAATAGGTGAAATCTTTATTAAGGGCGTTGATAAATTTCAATTTGGGGTGGAAAAGTAAACGATATAATTGCTATGAGTGGTATTTATTTAAATATTTTAATTTTTTTACCGTCATTACATTGAAAATATTAGCAATTATTTAAATATCATTTAAATTAAAGAATAATTAGAAATAATATTATTTTAATTAAATAATGAAAACCAAAAGACATAATCCAATTTATCAAAATAAGAAAAAATGTGAGTAAGTTTACAATAATACTAATTCGTCTACATTTTTAATTATTAGTATAATTTGATAATTTATATATATCCTTCCAAGCTTTATAAAATAATACGAATTAAAAAGACCCAATCTAAACTATTTTTTTTATTATTGTCTATTTTCTTAGAAAGAAATTTTTAATAATTTTTTTTATTAATTTGATTTTGACAACCAAAAATTGAAAATTATATTTATGTATGCAATTACATCTACATAAAAAAAAAAGTCAATTTAAGCACAATAAGACAAAATTTGGAATTAAATTAAGTGAAATAGACATTACACCGACTTATTTATATTAAAATATATCATATATTGTTTTTGTATCTCATATATCATGAACTTATTAATAAAATTATTTTACACACTTTTTGTTAAGTTACGCAATTAAATAATTATTTTATGTAAAAAAAAATCAAGTTAAACTATAATTTACAGTAAAAAAATATGAAAGAATGTAATTAGTTATATTTATCTTTTATAATTTATTTAAAAAATAAACTAAGTATATTATTAGGAAAGAAAGGTAATACACTTTTTTAACATTTACGAAAACCTTTTTGAAAAAATCTTCCGAATAAAAGAAAGTTAACAATTTTTATCACTTACTCTTTTAAGTTGCCAAAAAATTAAAACTTGTGAAAAAATTGTATATTAGTTATATTTATCTTTTATAATTATTTAAAATACAAACTAAATGTTTTATTAGGAAAGAATGGTAACATACCTTTTTAACATTTTCTAAAAGCTTTTTATAAAAATGTTACTAATAAAAATAATTTAAATATATTTTATCACTTACTCTTTTAAGCATATTTGCATTTTAAAAAAAAATTATTGGTACGTATATGTTTCAAGAAAATAGAAAAAATCAAATGTTTCTAAAAATGGACAATATTTTGGCATACAATTTTGAAATTAAAGTGCACAATAAGATAAAAATAATAATTCTATTTTCATTCAAAATTATATTTTAAAGTAAGTCAAACTATTTAAACAAAAAGTCAATTTTCCACTTTTGAATTAAACATCAAAATAAGATGGCTTCTCTTGTACACAAACTTGAAAATCTCGTTTTTCTTTCTTTCCTTTCTTAGAAAATTGCAAATTTGGTCCCACTCGTTTGAAAAATGCAAATTTAGTCCTAAAATTTGATTCCTTTCTTTCTAGTTGTGAACGTTGACTAACAATGCATGAGCGAGATTGTTATTTTTTACGGACGTCGGACCAATGTTGCAATGAAGAAATAAAAAGGATCATAAATGGCATTCTTGGGACCAAAGGTGGGAACCGTTGAAACGAATGAGACCAAATTTGTAATTTTCTCTATTTTAAATATTTAAGTTTATTATATTCCCTAATTCATGTATTTATATGTTTTAAATTTTCTAAATATTTAATTAATTATTTTTTTTCTAAATAAACCTATTAATTTAAATTCTATAAAACATTTAAAAATATAAATAAAAATTTCGATCTGTCCAGTGAACTATTAAACCTGTAACTTGTTAGTGTATTTTGTGGTTACTTTATATATTTTTGAGTGGTTATTTTATGCATATATTATATTATTACAATTTTTCCCCAATTCATTCTATCGTGTTGCTCGTTTATGTATTTTCATGTTGTTCTAGTATGCTATGTATTTTCTGTCTCTTTTTATACCTTATGTTTTAGGAAAATGAGCTCCAAAGGCACCGAAAAAATCCATTTGAGGGTTGCCGGAAACTAGGCTGGACGAGTGTGAGTTTCTCTCTGAAGATCCGAACTCCCAGCACTCTTGGACCGGTGCCCAGCTCGTGAGTCTCCCCCGAGCACTAGCGTGCCCTTCCTGGCTCGCGAGAAAGGAGACCCAGACAGAGGCTGGTCACTCGCGCCATGAGCTCAAGCTCGCCCACTGAACGAGTATCGTCGCCTGCTTGCCCTTGCCATGCCCGCCTCACATGCAGTTGTTACCTTCACCCTACATTTCTTATCCATCGCGTTCCCCGCGAAGACAAATAACTCTCATGCGAGTTTCTGCCTTCTGCTTGTCTTGCCCGTCACTTGCATGCTGCGTGTAGATGCCCGCCTTGCACTTGAGTTGCTGCCATCATCCCCACGCTAAAGCAACTGGCGTGATCCGCTAACCATATTGTGTAGCCTGCTAGTTCAATTCCACACACACAGCCCAACTATCGACCCCAGTCATACATCTTATGGCACCCGCGAGCTCATGCACCTTTCTCCTAGAAACTCATTTGCCCCTTCAGTTATCTAGCGTAGCCCGCGAGTTCACTTCCCAGCACTCAAGCAACTCGAGTGCCCCGGGAGTTCTAGCTCCAATTTCGCTTAGTCCTCGAGTTATTCGTTAAATGTGTGGTATTCAGTGCGTGTACTAAAAGTAGTATATAAACAATTGTCCTTCATATATTTTATAACCTTATCTTCTTAGTTACATTTTAATTTTAGATTTTCTCTCCCTTTTTGTAATTTTCCTCATGAGAGACTTAAGGGCTCAAGACCCAATTTTAATTATTTTACTTCTCCGTCAAGGTTGCAACCTTCCGGTTTAGTTCTACTTGTTGATACGATTAGAAACTTGAAGACTTAGTTTAAGGTTCAATATCTTGTAAGTTATTTCGACCTTGCTTAGTTATATTTGTGGGATATTTTCTTAGGTAAAGTAGGAATCTTTCATGAGTA